AGAAAGGCCCACCACCACCTCAATTCATTCTCTTTCGTTCTTGCTTTCTATTCTCTTCAAAGTAATGAAATTTAGAAAGAGAGATTATGATGATGATGATTATGACTCGACTCACTACTACTCACCTAATTGTAATCAGAATTTTTTTTTTTTTTTTTTTTTTAGCTTTATTTTGTGATGATGAATGGTATGTTTGTGGTGGTGGGTATGGGGTTATTCTCTCCCTTTGTCATTTTCAACCTTTACAATTTCTCTCTCCCCCCTTTCTCTCTCCATCTCTTTCCTCTTCTTTCTCTCTTTAACTCGACCCGGTTTAGATTTCCACAACTCACCCATTTGACTCACTACAGTAGAAAGTTTCGAGAGTGACTCTTCTATAACAATAAAATATATTATTATCATTTTAGTAATATAGAAAACCTTTAATTTGGTTTTGGAAGCATGTTTGATATAACTCCCATGCCATGCATGCATGCAGCCATGCAATAGAGACCGGAACTGAAGCTGGCACCGGAGCTGAGTCAACTCACTTAAACAAAAAGGAAAGAAAACCGAACTTTTTCCGTTTACAGAAAAATCAAAAAACACGTAAGCAGACAGTGACGCTGACTGTCAATGGAGCCCCACTCCAACTCAGTGGTGAGTGGACACAGCATCTCCCTCTCCTCTTTCTCAAAAAGCATTTGATTGGTGAATCCATCCATCCATCTCTACTCAACTCGACTCTTTCTTTCTCTCTCCCCTCTGTTTACAGAGAAACAAAGATCTGAGATATATATAGAAAACAGAATCTATACTCACCAGTCACCACCTGTTTCTTGTCGACCCCACCACCCCCACCCCTCTTCCTCCCTCCTCAATAAATTATTAAATCTCCATGAACAAACTTACACTTTATGTCTTTATTCTCTCCCTTTCAAAATTTTCTAATTTCCTTTTAAAACTTTAGCATTTAATTTATATTTGCTTTTATTTTTTTTTATATGTTTGCCGGTGATGCCTACTCCGGTTAGTGTAGCGAGGCAATGCTTGACATCCGAAGCAGCTCACGCGCTCGACGAGGCCGTTGCTGTGGCTCGCAGGAGAGGCCATGGACAGACGACGTCGCTTCATGCGGTTTCCGCTCTCCTTTCTTTTCCCTCGTCGATTCTACGCGAGGCCTGTGCGCGTGCCAGGAACGCCGCCTACTCGCCTCGTCTTCAGTTCAAGGCGCTCGACCTTTGTCTAAGCGTTTCTCTCGACCGTGTCTCGTCCACTCAGCTCAGCGACGACCCGCCCGTGTCAAACTCACTCATGGCCGCGATCAAACGGTCGCAAGCCAACCAACGGAGGCAGCCTGATAATTTCAATCTCTATCACCAACTTTCTCAGTCTCATAACTCGTCTGTGGCCGTCGTAAAAGTCGAGTTACAGCACTTGGTTATATCAATTCTCGATGACCCGGTCGTGAGTCGGGTCTTCAGTGAAGCGGGATTTCGGAGCAACGAAATCAAGTACGCCATCTTACGCCCTCTCACAACGCAGCTTTTTAAACTTTCTCGCGCCTCTAAAGCTCCACCGCCAATTTTTTTATGTAACTACTTGACTGAAAATTCGGATCCGGTTTCGGGTCGGAAGGGAATGAGCTATACGTTTCCCGGTTATGGTGGGTACTTGGATCATGGAGATGATAATTGCAAAAGGATAGGAGACGTGCTTTTGAAGAGAAAGAATCCTATGTTGGTGGGTGTTTATGCTTACGGTGCACTCAAGAGTTTCAACGAAAACGTAGAGAGAAAACATAATAAGAATATTTTGCCGTCAGAATTATCTGGGTTGAATATTATTTCCATTGAAAACGATGTTTCAAAATTTATCACAGAAAATACTGATAAAGGGAGTGTCAATGTGAGATTTGTGGAGGTGAGTTTGTTTATAGAGCAAAGTTTAGGACCTGGGGTGGTGGTTAATTATGGAGACTTGAAAGCATTTGTTAATGAAAATAGCTATGATAAAGGAACAAATGATGCAGTTGTGAGCCATGTTGTGGCTCAATTGACGAAGCTGTTGCATCTTCGTGGAGCTAAAGTTTGGTTGATAGGTGCTGCAGCCAACTATGAGACGTATTTGAAGCTTCTGAATAGGTTTCCATCAATCGAAAAGGACTGGGATTTGCATCTTTTGCCTATTGCTTCTTTAAAAGCTTCTTCAATGGCTGAAACATTCCCCAAATCCAGGTGAGTGGTGTATTTTTCATGTTACTTTTTGTGTTTATATGCCTGCTTTGCATGTTTTTTTTTTTTTCTTTTTTTTTCTTTTTCTTATAGATATAACTTTTAAATTTATTTATTGTCACTTGGTTTGCTTTTTTTTTTTTTTCTTTTTTTTTCTTTTTCTTATAGATATAACTTTTAAATTTATTTATTGTCACTTGGTTTGCTCAAGAATATTTTAATATAAGGTTAAATTATCCTTTTCTGATGCGTAGTTTCTGACTTGTTCTTTTGCAATAAACTAGGATTTTGCATGACTAAGCTTTGTTTAATAATATACAAAACGTTTAGTTTAATGTATTAATACAAGATTTAGAAATGATTTCTTTAGCCGGGGTTTATGTTCAATCATGAATTTAAGTGAGCTCATGGTCAGTTTCTTACTTTCAAGTGTCAGATTTCTTTGAAGATTTGAAGGAACTTTCTTCTCTGATGGTTAAATTTCTTCAATTCTTTGTAAAATTCTTTGCTATTATTGGCTATGGTGTGTGTTTGTTTACATGTTGTAGTAGAGTCTCTGGTTCTTTGGTTTGCTGTCAGGTATCTTTTTTCTCTGTGCTTCGAGTTACCATGTGTCTTTTTTTTCTTTTCCCCTCTTCATGTTCCTTTTGAATCTCAGAATTTGATGGTCTAATTGTAGCTTGATGGAATCATTTGTTCCTTTTGCTGGGCTCTTTTCTACACCTTCTGACTTAAAGAGCCCACTAAGCGGCGTATATCAATGTGCAACCCGGTGCCATCAATGCAACGAGAGGTGTGAACAAGAGATGATTGCTTTGTCAAAAGACTTCAGTTCTTCAATAGCAGACCAGTGCCAATCTAGCTTGCCTTCTTGGTTACAAATGACAGAGAGAGGCAAAGACAGATTGAATCGAAAGGTGTGTATTGCTTTAAAACCCTTGACTCTAATTTGTGTTTTGGTTCTGTTTATTAAATAGAAAAAGCTGAGGCAAAAACCAAGAGAATTAATATGATTATCATGTTTCATGTTAAGCCACTGAAATCTAGACCATGCTAGCCAAATTGATTTTAGTGGATAAATTCTTTTATTAGGAGCCATAGGCTCAGATGGCTCTTATGCTTCTGGAATATATTCAGGATGAAAATTCGTTTTTGAATTTTCGTAAGATTTTTTTGGTTACATACAAACTGGAGTAATTTTAAGAATCTTTTCAAAGTTTATGTAAAAATCAATTTGCATCTCTTCAGTGCAGACTAAAGATGGTGGAACAGTATTGAGTGCCAAAATTACAGAGGTGCAAAAGAAATGGGATGATATATGCCAGCATCATCATCCGACTCAACCATACCCTTCCTCCAACATCTATCAAGTGGGTTCTCAATTTCCCACTGCTGTGGGCTTTCAGTTTCCTGAAGACAGAAGGGAGAATGCTGATAACAGCAATAGAAATACACCACCTTCTGATAAAAGTTGCATCAATGTGAATTCGGTGATTCCCATTGACTCTGAAAATGTTTCTGCTTCAAAAACATTTTCTTCTCCCATGGTTTCCAAAGATCCGAATGAGATTTTGGTATCCAAACTGTGGCAAAAACCATCAAAAACAGATCTTGAGTCAGGTGGCCTCAGATCTCCCTGCAGTTTGTCTAATTCAAGTGTAGATGACAGTAATCGAACATCTCCAACGTCTGTGACTTCTGTGACCACTGTTTTAGGATTGGGAATGTGCTCCGCCCCTGCCAAAAATGAACTGAAGGAACTTACAGAAGTGTCTCAGGAATTATCTGGTTGCTTTTCTGCTAATGTAGATTTCGTCAATGGGAGTATTTCTAACCATCCGGCTCAATCTTCATCCTCCTCATGTCCCGACTGGCATCGGCAATTTGATCTAAGCAATTGCAAGACACTTTTTAGTGCTCTCACTGAAAGAGTTGGCTGGCAAGATGAAGCCATACATGTTTTATGCAAAAACATAGTTCACTGGCAAGCACTAAATGAAAATTGCCATAGAGCAAGTAAACGAGGGGTATGGTTCAATTTTACTGGTCCTGATAGGTGCAGTAAAAGGAAGATTGCTGTCGCCCTTGCTGAGATAATATATGGAAGCAAGGAAAATTTTATTGGTGTGGATCTGAGTTCCAATGTTGGGGTGACAGATAGAAATGCAATCTTTGATTGTGAAGATGTGAATGGTTACGGTATGAAGTTTAGAGGGAAAAATGGGGTTGATTATATTGCTGGGGAGTTATGCAAGAGACCCTTGTCCATTTTCTTTCTTGAAAATGTAGATAAGGCTGATCTGCAGGTTCAGATTAGTTTGTCCAAGGCTATACGAACTGGTAGATTTATTGATTCAGATGGGAGAGAAACTTGCATCAAGAATACAATATTTGTGACCACATCAGCATTTATGAAGGATAGCAAGAATATCTCTTACACAAATGAGGGCATTAACTATTCTGAGGAAAGAATTTTGAGAGCAAAGAGCCGGCAAATGCAGATCCTATTCGAACCTGCTCCAGGGAAAAGCAGCATTAGCCAAAAGTCGACTACATCCAGTTCAAGTGAAGGCATGGTGTTTGTGAATAAGAGGAAACTGAAAGGCCGGAATGAGTATTCACAGCAGGACGATATCTCTGAGATGGTCAAACGGGCTCATAGATCATCAGCTAAGAATTTAGATTTGAACCTTCCAGCTGAAGAGAACGAACTGCAAGAAATTAAGGATGGGAACTCAGATAATGACTCCTCTGGGAACTCCAAGCCTTGGTTGCAAGATATCTTTGATCAGACTGAAACAGTGGTTTTCAAGCCATTCGATTTTGATGCACTTGCAGAGAAAGTCTTGAATGATATCAACAAGAGTTTCCACATGATTGTTGGCTCTGAATGTTCTCTAGAAATCGACACCAAAGTGATGGAGCAATTACTTGCAGCTGCATATCTATCAGACACAGACAGTTTGGTAACAGATTGGTTGGAGAAAGTTCTTTGCAGGGGATTTTTAGAAGTTCCAATTAGGTACAACCTCACAGCTCATTCCATTGTGAAGCTTGTTACTTGCGAGGAACATTCCATGGAGGAGCCAACACCAGAAGCAGCAGAAATTCGCCTTCCGTCAACAATTATTTTGAATTGATATTTTCCAAAAGCCTAGTGATACAGATAGATGTATAATTTAGCAATCAGCTCTAGTAACCATTTGGTAGCTGTTAATCTAAAATTTTATTGGTTTTCTTGTTCAAGATAGGTTTTTGTATTATGTATAATTATAGTCCATGCTTGTGTGAATTATGATTCTCTTATGTACTGAAACACCAAAATATTCTTCTTTTTGCTCCTTGAATTTGATGGTGTCTAAATGCTTATGCATTTCATCAAAGTTTGTATGATTTTAATATGAAATTACAAGTCTTTATAGCTTGATAATTAAGGCTATTACACTTTCCCCCCCTTAGTTTTGGGGAACTATCACCCCAATCCGAGATTTTGTAAGTTAAAATGTATCGGTGTAAGGGTTAAAAAAGACATTTTGAACAACTAATCGGTCTTTTTGTTGTCTAAAAGACACAACAAAACTAAAATGGTTAGCCCTTTACGGGTTGGTACCTTTTAACTTAAATTTATGACTTAAATTGTTAACACAAATTCATGACCGTTGATCTATGATAATCCAACGGTTATAATCTGACCTAGCAATAACGTACACGACTCAAAATTTAAAAAATCAACTGGGCCAAGAAAAGGCCCAATAACAGAACCACTTGGCTTTACACTTTCCTAATATAAATAACTTCAAACTTTTGGCGTTTCGCCTTCTACAGTGGGAAAGTTCAAAGCTTCAGTCTTCAGCTCCCCGATCTTCAGCTCCTCTGTACTCAAACCTTCCGTTTCTAACTCAAAACATCATACGAATCTACCTTAATACGTACGCACGTATACGGTACCGTATACGTACAGGCAAATGGCTTCAGTTTCTTCAAGTCCTCGTACGGTAGAAGAGATCTTCAAGGACTTCAACTGTCGTCGCTCGGCTCTCGTTCGTGCTCTCACTTCGGGTCCTTTTCACTCTCTTTGAATTTTAAACCCTAATTTTCAGATGAAATGGAAGTGTTTTTGTTTGATTTTCCTTTGAAGTTGACGGTTTTTTTTTTTTTTAGATGTCGACAAGTTCTACTCACAATGTGATCCAGGTTAGTTCACTTTCTTTATTACTTTTTGGTTGCTCAGCGAAGTTAGTCTGTTGCATCTATAGTGAGCTTAAGATGTACTTTAAATTTGATTAACCGCATTCGACATTTGAAATACTTAGAATTTGTGAATTAAGCTTAGAATTTTTTATTTTTTTTTGGTTCATTTTTGTAGAGAAGGAGAATCTGTGTTTGTACGGACACCCAAATGAATCTTGGGAGGTGGCAATGCCTGCTGATGAGGTGCCACCGGAGGTTCCAGAGCCAGCATTGGGCATAAATTTTTCGAGGGATGGGATGCATAGGAAAGATTGGCTTTCTCTTGTTGCAGTTCATAGTGATTGCTGGTTGCTTGCAGTGGCTTTCTACTTTGGTGCTCGACTTAATCGCAATGAAAGGTACAATTTTGTGTATACTTGCTGTGGATACTCAATGTTAATTGAGCTTGTTAAAAACAGAGTAGTGTTTGCTACTTGTAGGTGGCAATAGCCCTTTTTTGGTGAATTCAACAACGATATATCTATAAGAGTTTTTACTTGTGATCAATTTTGAATTTGTAATGCTTTACTTGTACAGTGAACAAAGTTGTCACAATGTAAGAAGTGCTTATGCCTAATCACTGCAAAATCTCTGAAGGATTTTAAATTTTGGCTACATCTCTGCTTTTTTTAACAATTTCTCTGCACACTATTCCCATCATGATAGGAGTTGCATCGAATCCTTTAGTTCCTGTTCTTCAATTTACAATTGATAATGTATTTGAGGCCAACTTTAGTAAACTAAATGGATAGGATCACCTTTCTAGCTATTTCTTGTCAATTGAAATCACTGGACCAATCCATAACTATCTTTATGCTGAATTAGTCAGTATCAGCTACACAACATTCATTGAATAGAATGGATTAAAAATATGGTCCCTGGTCTCACCCTTCATCTGCAAAAGAGTCATTCATGGGATTCAGTATATCCTCATTTCTTCCTGTTACTCTTAGGAAATCATTCTTTATGGACACCAAAGTTGATACTAGTTTCGGAATATTCATGGAGTACTAGACCAACTATGGCAGACATCTTCCATAATTTACCCCTGACCTGTTCCCAAATATCGTTGCTAAATGCTGGTTCTGTATGTAGTCAACACAGCACTATCCACCACTTGTATAGAGAACGAGTTCACTAGTGACACTTGGATTCTAACATAGTCATCTGAAGTAGCAGGGGTCAGTCCAGTTAATCTGTCTATAACTAATAGTCCCTTATTTTGTCGGCTTTTATACTATGACTTAGCAATTCTATACACAAGGGAAAAAGGGGAAAAACAATTGTATGCACTGGTGATCAAAGTGGCATGGTTCCCCACTTTATGAAATGAATTGCTCAATTTAACTTGTTCATTTATTTGAGTGCAATTTTTCACATTGAAGTTCAGACTCACTCACATCATTGTAATTATGTGAAAGCTGCTTGACATGCCTATAGTTGCTCCCATGCAGTAGAGGTCAACAAGCCTAAAGATTTTGAATCACTGAAGATGCCTTATTCATGCTGCACTTGGGTGCCATTAGGCTGGACTAGCCTAGATTGATGCTAGGATTGACCGTATTCCATGAGTCCTGCACAATCCGACAGATTCGGTTTGGTGAAATAAGTTTGAGTCTTAGCTTTGTCTGGATCTGTAGGCTGGTTCTCATATCTTATTCCAGTTTCCAATGACATTCTTTAGACAGCCAAAAGGGTTCTCTGTTGGGACATTGATAGAAGGTACTGAGACACTTTCCAGATCAGAATAGGAAATAAAGTTTTAGCTAGGCTTTTCATTTAACAGGTATATTATATGAAGCAAGAGATGATCGAGAGAGAACCTTGAGTTTTTATGACATTATTTATATTCTATTACCCTCATTTCACCATCAGAAAGTGTTTTGCTGATCCAACTTCCAGGACCACTTACCAGTCACCATCTTTTGGGTTCTGGATTGATAGATTTACAAACACATATATACCTTAAATTAAAGATGGCATGACTAGTGAGTTGTTTGTATTTATCTGCTATCCTTTCAGGTTTTTCTAGAGCTTGATGAAAATTCATTCACCTTAACAATTTGCATAGTTTTCTTTTTCCTTCTGTTTGTGTTTTCAATATTCTCTACGACTGCTTTGGGGGAGGTAAAATTTTAAATCAACTTGTTCTTAGCCATGCATGCACTAATCGAATGGTTACACTGTCTAGCTAATTCAGATAGGGGGCTCTCTCATTGGTTTTTACATGTTGTTTAGAGGGCAAAATTCCAAACCTCCACCTATTTTCCCATGTCCTTCGGTATTTTATTGATTTTTATAGATCAACGGAAGCGGCTATTTAGCTTAATCAACGATCTTCCCACCCTCTTTGAAGTTGTTACTGGCAGGAAGCCTCTAAAGATAAACCAAGTGTAGATAGTGAAGCAATCCCGGAATGGCTCCAAGGTAAAGATTCTCGCTATTCTTTCAGTCTGATAAAACCAATACAAATTGATAAATTCAAACTATGTTTTAGTTTTCTCCTTCTCTTTTGCTTGCATTATTTTGGGCTCATAACCTGCCTCACTCTGCAGAGACAATTGATGGATTAGTGAGGAGCAATCCCAAAATCTTGAGGATCATGTAGAGACGAGATGATGAGCACAACGAAACCTTTTGCGGAAGCTGTGGGTCAAGTTACAACTCTGATGAGTTTTGATAGGTTGTGACATTTGTGACGGTGGTACCATGGAAAATGTGTGAAGATAACACCAGCCAAAGCAAAAGTATCAAGCAGTACAAATGTCCTTCTTGCTGCACAAAGAAGGGAAGGCATTAGCTTACAGAGAGCTTATGGCGTCACATACCAGCTTATTTTACTCCTGTTATTGTAGTAAAGTCATGATAGTTTATTTATCTTTTTATCTTGCTTTTCTGGTTGGGAACTTCTGGGTTCATAGCGCTTACACATTCTAAATGATGTTTAGCACTGATGATGTCTGATTGAGTCTGAATTCTCCACCCTTACAAACGGGTGACCCTTAATTTATTGGATAAATAGGTAGCAGTTACAATGGCATTGTCCTCTCCTAATTTGTTCAGTTGTCTTGGATTTTGGTGCTGCAAGCATACAAATGGCACTGGATCAATTATAATCTGGTAAGCTGGATTTCACAGTAGATTGAAGTATGAAAACTTAAATAGTTTGGTTTAATTTCCTCATGTTTCTAGGGATTTTTTCGACGGGTCTCTTTGAGTATATCCAATGATTCTTGTGTGGGTAAATTACTCTGGGTAACAAATCCATATCTATGATGAGTGATTGGAGTTGCTAATTAGTTTTTCCGAATGAGATCTAGCCATCTAGGATCGGTATTAAAAGGTAAAAGGTATTTTCGTTTTTACGCGATTATCATGTCAATTAATAGATTTCCCTAACAGGTCTACAGGTGGGTGATAAATTGTCAACAAATCTTAACGTGGTAGGTTGTCGTTTTCAAACTTTTCGGTAGTAAACTATCATTAGGGCAATCTTGAGTGTGGGAAGATGTCCTTCGACTTATATATTTATGTGCTATTTTAAATTAATTATTTATTAATATATAAATGGGTGGACTATTGGACGGTATATAAAAAGTAAAAAGTATTTTCGTTTTTACAATGATATTAATGTCAATTAACAGATTTCACTAATAGATCTGAACGGTGGGTGAGAATTGTCAAACAAATCTTAACGTGGTAGATAATTGTCGTTTTCAAACTTTTCGGTAGTAAACTATCGTTAGGGCAAATCTTTGGTGGTGGGAAGATGTCTTCGACCTATATATTTAGTGATTATTTTTTATTATTTATGTAATATAAATGGGGGGACTGTTGGGATGGTATATAAAAAGTAAAAAGTATTTTCGTTTTTACAATGATTATCATGTCAATTAACAGATTCACTAATAGATCTGACGGTAGGTGAGAAATTGTCAAACAAATCTTAACGTTGGTAGATAATTGTCGTTTTCAAACTTTTCGGGTGAAACTATCATTAGGCAAATCTTTGGGTGGTGGGAAGATGTCCTTCGACCTATATATTTATGTGATTATTTTAAATTATTATTTATGTAATAATATAATAGGTGGTGTTGGGACGGTATATAAAAAGTAAAAAGTATTTTCGTTTTACATGATTATCAATGTCAATTAACAGATTTCACTAATAGATCTGACGTGGGTGATAAATTGTCAACAAATCTTAACGGTTGGTAGATAATGTCGTTTTCAAACTTTTCGGTAGTAAACTATCGTTAGGGCAAATCTTTGGTGGTGGGAAGATGTCCTTAGACCTATAATTTATGTGATTATTTTAAATTAATTATTTAGTAATATATAATGGTGGCTGTTGGGACGGTATATAAAAGTAAAAAGTATTTCGTTTTACATGATCATCAATGTCAATAACAGATTCACTAATAGATCCTTGGCGTTGATGAGATTTCAACAACTTAACGGTTGGTAGATAATTGTCGTTTTCAACTTTTCGATAGTAAACTATCGTTAGGGCAAATCTTTGGTGTGGGAAGATGTCCTTAGACCTATATATTTATGTGATTATTTTTAAATTAATTTTTATATAATAATATAATGGTTGTACTACTGGACGGTATATAAAAGTAAAAAGTAAAATATTTTCGTTTTTACAATGTATCAATGTCATTAACTTAACAGATTTCACTAATAGATCTGAACGGTGGACGAGAAATTGTCAAAAAATCTTAACAGTGGTATAATTATCGTTTTCAAATTTTCGGATAGTAAACTATTTAGACAATCTTTGGGTGGTGGAAGATGTCTTTCGCCTATATTATGTGTTATTTTTAATTAATTATTTATGTAATAATAATAAATGGGTGGCTGTTGGGACTTGGAGAGAGTGAAGACGTAGAGCTGTTGTCTCTGGAGTCCTACCTCTCCATCTCTCTCATTGAGTTTGAGATGAGAATGTCATAAAAATATCCGGTGACGTGTATGCTTAGCTACAGTAAGAAAATAGCATGTGTTTGTCTTTTATTTTATTGTGGGCAGTGAAAGTGATAGGTGGTGGGCTTCCTCTTTACTTTCTAAATTAATGAAACAGCAAATAAACGTGCCCATTTCTTTTGGGTGCACGTGGTGATTTGACTCTTAGATCTTTTTTATTTCTGCTGGCTGACGTAACCAAGCACTTGTGACTAGTGACTTGTCTGTCTCCCGCTAGAATATAATATATTATACACGTTTCTGGCCCACTTCTTGCCATAATTTCCACGTTCAAGCTTGAAATTTCTACAATATACCATTAATTAATACTATTTCTTTTTCTTTATTTTTCAAACACGTTTTAAGAAAATTGACAGAATATCTACCCTTTTCTATATTTATTTATAATTTGGGAATATTTAAAAAAAAAATTAGTCTATTTTATATGTAATTTAAGCTATTTTATTCTCAAAAAGCTTTTTTAGATGTAATTTTTTTAGTGTGAACTCGTGTTGAAATATACAACTTTAATTGAAATAGACATGCAATTATGTTGTATGGATTAATACCTTTGCAAAAATTATGTCTTTATTCTTACATAAATTATCATTTGACTAATTGCGTTAAACTTGTCGACAAGTTCAAGATAAAAGAAGATTATTAAAAATTAAATTTTTTTTAATATTTTTATCGACATAAAATCATCAGTCAACGTTAATCATTAGATTAATATTTTTTTTCCGTTAATTTTAAAGGTTAATATCTTGAAATTATTGATACGTTATCTACCAATAAAATATAGTCTTATTAAAATCATGGTGGAGGTTTGAATTTGAATATAATATCTGATTTTTATGGGAAATTAGAGGCTGAGACTCACACATCAGCGGCCGTGGCCACCATCACACAATGGGCCTGCCCAAAATAAAGATAATAAAATTAACAAAGGAAACTGATATGAAACAACCTTTCAAAATTTCTCAAAAAAATTCAAACCAACAAAACTAACCCTAAGATATAAATGAAAATCTCTTCAATTAGACAATAATAAAACAAAAATTTGCGTGAACTCCTATCCAATGTCTTATAGATAATACAACTTTTATATTAATTATTTGTTGAACTTTATGTAAGAAGTTGTCACTGAAAGCTACATTGTGATAAATATATTTATTTCCAGAAGAACCTTAAGGTCGGCAGTATAGACTCTGAACATGAAATTAATTATTATTAATATTATTTGTATTTATTTGACTAAATAAAACTCCAAAACTTTGAGTGGGGTCGGTAAAAAGAAGTCACTTTAGCAAAGCTTGAAGATTCAAAACATGGGTTAGTACGATAATGCACAAAAAATGATCATAATGTATAACATTAGCAATATTATATATAAGCTTTTTATATGTGAATAATTATTATATGAAAATGGGTCCTTTAAATACTTTATAATATGTGGAACGACGATATTCCTAGTGTAAAAAATAAAAAATAAAAACTATAGTGGCCAAGATTTTTTATTTATTTTATTTTTGGGTGGACAATCAATCTGTATCAAATAATGAAAGTATGCATGTGACATTTAATTATCTTTAGCCCATCCCCACCTTTAGAAACAGCTTGTTTCAAACAGGAAAAAAATAATGATTTTCATATATTCACATGTCAATCTTTTAATATATTTTATACGTTTATTATATCGTGAATCACGCCCTAACTATAGTTGGTTATTGAAATGAGAAACTTCTAATTTGGTTTTTTATTGAGGTTTTTGTTTAATTAATAAAATTTTAGAGTAAATCTCTGTCGCAATTTAATAAAAAATTTCACGATTTCAGAGAAAGATTTTGTTGAATTTTAATCAAATATCCAACCATATTAATACACCATATATTAATTTCACGTGTATCATGCCATAAGACCAGTCATACAAATTATTTAATTGGCCATGTTAATTTGCCTCGATCAATGATGAAAAAAATGAAAACATGTCATGATCAAAATTCTTATGTGACCTCTCTCCTTTAGTTGGGTGACAAGCTTTAGTCAAGTCTTGTCCTCGAGTTAGGGGAGAAACAATTACCGGATTTATAAAAAAAAAAAAAATATATATATATTTTTTTGTGTTGTGCCCTAAAGCCACAACTATTAATGAAAGAACATATATATTATCTTCTATGCTTGAAACTTGATTTGATTCTATTAATATATCCCTTTCATGATTACAAGATGTACAATTATCTCAAATAATCAATTAAGGGAAGATTAAGAAAAAAAAAAAACTAAAGCTAATTAGATTTTAACAATATAGGAATATTAATAACATTTTGGAGATTTCATAGAATCGACTTGGGATTTGCCACGGGACCTCTCAATCTTATGAAAAGTCTGTATTCATCAAATGTCATGGGAGGATACAGTGCGGGTTTGTCCGTCGTTATAAGTTCCTTCACTGGTTCAATTGGTATATCACTTTGGGATTGTAAAAGAAGCAAGAGATACCCTTCTTGATTGGGGTTTACTATCACTCTATGCTCCACACTCTTGTAATTTGCATTGCTCAAAACCTAACAAAATCAAAACACACCAAAAATTTAATTAGCAAATATTGCAACACCTATTGAGAAATCAATTCTATAAGAAGATTTGATTATTAACATCGTGTATATGAACCATCGTTGGGTGGTCAAATGGTTGGATACTGGTAGGGGTAATGTTTGAGTACCTGTATTTTTTAAGGAACCGAAATCACGTCGTTTCGTTCCAGAAACCTAGAATCGGAACCTGAAACATAGTGTTTCCGATTCCAATATCAAGTTAATTTCAATTACCCCCTACTTTATTAAAATGACAAATACACTCCCAAAAATCTATACACCCACAGTTTACAAAAAATTACAATTAGTCCTAGTTCTTACCCAGTACCCGGACCCATTTCGGTTGCAGTTCTACAGTATGACCAAACCAAACCCGAGATATCTTGATTCTAATTTTTCAAAATCAAACTAAACCCAATAATGGGGCCGATTATACAGTTATAACCCTTTACCCATGCTCACTCCTAGTTACTAAGAGTTACCCTATTGTTATTTCAAAGTCTCGAGAGATTAGTCGAGGTGCGTATAAACTAATCGAACCACCCCCTATCCACAAAAAGAAAAAAAAAAATGTGTATAATGTGCAATTAGGGAAGAGGCATGGTGAGAAATTAATTGAGTTAAGGTGTCGGTGCCATGAGAAGAAATCTTTTATATAGGTAGCACGTTTGAAATATGGGGAAATGAGAAAATTAGTAGCACTCAATTGAATATCAAAGTTTTTATCCCGTGCAATAGTGATAATTATCCATGTGTAATATTACAAATAATCATAATATTATTTAGTCAAAATATTAATAAAGATGTTGAAATATTAGTGGTTAATTATAGTCATAATTTGTAGTCCACAGAAAATGACCCCATCCAACTATGGTTCACGAATCCTGACCAAGCAATTTTAATTTTAATTTATGGATAATTAAGAGAGAGGATTAATAAATAACCTGAACTTGATCACCAATGTTGACGATAAACGCATGTTTAGCAGGCTTCACAGTGATCCAATTATCTCCTTTTCGGACCTGAAGACCCGCAACTTGATCATCGGGCAACAGCATCGTCAACCCTCCAGGATCCGAATGAGACGATAACCCAAGAGTCAAGTCGGGTTGTGGACATTTGGGATAGAAATTAACCCTCAAACAAGCTCCAATATTTTCACCTCCGAATGCATTTTGAAGATGATCTTCTCTTAATCCAAGCTCTAATGATAGAATCTTCATTAATCTCCCACATAATTCCACCAACTCTTTGCAGTACTCATCAATCACTTCCCTGTGAATGTTCATAATCAATCAAAGCTTTAAATAATTAAAGATTTTTATTTAGCTGACAAAATGGGACAACTAAATTTGCTGACAATTAAACGACAAATCAACAGTAGTAATTAATTTAATTAATTAAACTAATTAAATTAAGTACCTGATAGAAGGTGGATAGGGAGGCCACTTGTTAAAATCTTTTAAATTCGTAGGGCGATAATGAAGGAAATAGTAATCACTCCAGTCAAGAATGGCTCCTTTCTCCACACCCAAACGGCTGCCATAGCCTTCGTAAGTTTTTGGTGAGTTGGCATAAGCTTGTTTAACCTCCATGGGCGCATGAAAAAACTGGCGCCAACCTTCACGAGCTTGGTCCATCAGTTCAGGGCGGACGCCGTGGTTCAGAATTTGGAAGAATCCCCATTCACGACAAGCCATGGAAATTTGAGAAATGATTTGGGCGCGAACGTTTTGATCGTCTTGAAATAAGCCGGCGAGATCAATGATTGGAATATTAACATTGTGGTCAATATTATTATTCTCCGAAGAGAACGACGGCCTCTCAGTTGAAGGCTTGATGTATCGCTCTGGAATTTTATTTAAGCAACTCTCGGATAACGATTGAACTCGAACAATAGGCTCTGGCCAGTCCTGTAACTTGTTCATGATGTTGTTGTTGAGAAGAAGTAGGTTTGGATTCCAAGGTCGATTCTGTTAAGAAATCAAAACACAATTGTACGATGAAAAAGAAATAAGAAATTATAATAAATATTGATCGAGAGAGAAAGAGAGAAAGAAAGAAAAAGATAGAGTCATAGAGATAGAGATAGAGAAAGAGATATGAGGTTCAAAGAAGGGCGTTGGCGAGTGGTAGTTAAAAGGAAGGAGAGTAGTGGGTAGCCGTAAGAACTGAAATAGACATCAAAGAGAACGTGAAAATAATGGACTAATTTTAATTTTTTTTCAAGTGCTATTCTTGAGAGGACTTGAAAGCATAAAAAGAATATCGTCCTCTTTGCTTTATATAGTATGAATCAACGATTCTATTCGATTCAACGATTATGTTCTTAGATTGAACTGATCTATCACGTCATCTGTATATTATTTTACTCGACATGCATGTTGTCGAGTAAATAAAAAATAAAACAGTATGAACATAAACAAAACGGGTGGTTTTATATAATCTAATCTTCGTTTTCATTAAGGTTTTGACAGGTCCATTTCAGAGAAGAATAATATTTTAAAGCTAGTAAGTTTAGAAATGATTTCAGCCATTTATAACTCATGGATGAAACCCCATTTCGGCGCCGTGAGCAACTTGCTTTTATTCTCTTTCTTTGAATTAATGTCATGCATAAACGATAACAAAATAATGGCAAAGAGGAATAAAGGTACACTATTGATAATTGAGATGTGTGTGTATGCTGTTGCTTTCTATATCAGCACTAATAAATTGAATAGCTACTGCCATTTTTGAAAGGTTAGTTAGGTATGAATACACAGAGATTTTTAGAAGAAGAAGGAAGATCACCCTAGTCAATAATTAATAATTATAATGATGTAAAATGTTTATACAAGGTGAAGAAACCTTTAAACTATACATCATTTTCTTGTATTTTACTATGAAAATAAAATGACAGTTTACAATATATTATCCAATACTGTTCTTTATTATGCATTAAAACCGACCTTATATTTAAATGTTATTATAAATTTATAATATATATGTTTGTGTTAACTAATTAGATATGAGGACACCCAGCTACCAACAAAACTAAGACTAAGGTGTCAGTTAAACAAGGACAGATTTGGACATTTATGAGTAAATAAATTGATTTAACCTGTTCATATATGCTAAACAACTAAGCTATGTAATTGTCAATGGCCTGGAAGGTGTGAAAGTGAGAATAACAACAAGAAACATGGACGAAGGAAACGTAAATTATTATTTTTTTTTTTGGTATCCGAAGGTATCCAAACTAACTTACGTGCATCTCAATTAATCTTTCGGAGTCTTGAAGTTAACAGTTAAGTAAGCTTCCAATGGTTACCCTTTATTAGTAGTCATAAGGATTCAAACTTAGAACCTCTTGGAAATGTAAATTTTATTACACTAAACTGAGTAATAATGCACTAATGCAGAGACAGTTTACTTGTAAAAAAATGACTACATGATCGATCTCTATAAGCTTAATCTAATATATTTAGACAAATTTTGTAAACCCTAATTCATAAAGCCTTTAACATTCTAACCATATAGACTTAGAAAACAATACAGTAAACTTCCTTACTTGGATGATCTTTTGCCTTTTAGATAACCATTCGTTTTTCTAGAATATTTTATTTTAAGTGTCTAATTAATCTCAATACAAAATTCTTATATAAAGCAGCAGTTGCAATAGTATTTTTAGCAAATAAAATCAGATAAATTATACTAACCTTTACCTTCACCTCCATTTTTTAACTCCTCCTGTTCAAGCAGTAACAGCAAGCTAGTCTCGGAGACACACACAGAGAGAGAGAGAGAGAGAGAGAGAGAGAAAGATTAATTACAGAAGTGAATTAATTAATTAAACTTAAATTTAGACGTTGGTAGCTTTGACCATTAATACTATCAAATTTTAAGATAAGAATACAACTTAAAAAAAATCTGGAAAGTTTCAACGTTAAAATCGGGCCACGTTTTCTTTGCAATTTTTGGTTTTCAATTGCAAGTGACAGATCCTTCAATGACTCAGTCAGTCTCCTCTTCTCCCCAATCCCCACCATGTGAATCCCATCAACCTTCATAAGAATTTAACCAATATTTTCTCCTTTTATATATTAACTCTTAAATGCATTTTTATAGGGTGCATTTTATTCCTCTATTATATGTCATTACTCTTTCTCTGACCTTACCTTATCATTTATTACCAAACTGATAGATTTATGAACTTTACAGAGAGAATTGAATTCGAAGGTGCTGTGCTTGTTCATCGTTGAAGCAAGCTAGGGTTTCAAGAAGATATTATCTTTAATGATCACTTAATGCATTATCTTTAATGATTTTGAGCCTTATAAAAGCAAAAGAACAGTCATTTAATTCAATGAATGTGGAAGTGCTTTTATCTCTATATTAAAAGCAGATTAAGCACATCACATGCAAAACTATAACATTTCCCCAGTGAAACCACCAATTAATTAATCTCCAAATCCACTGAATCGATCATATTTTTGTCACATCAACTTCTTCAATATTTTTATTTCTTCATAGTCTCTCTTTCATTAATAATAATGCCTATAAATTTAACTGATTGAGAGGCGTCAGATTTTTCAAATGAAATTTTCTTTCCACAGCTTGTACCACTTTTGACGAATTGGAGTAGCTACAAATAACTCTAAATTCACCATATAGACATTTCTCGAATCTATTATAATAAAATATGTGAATTTTCATTAAAGTTGTTGTGCGGAATTCGAAGCAGATAAATTTTCTCTAGATATCTCGCAATATAGATCCTATGATCAAGACTGAAGATCACGATACTTCCCATTTTATCGAATTTAAACTCTCCAACTCAAATGTGTTTCTAGAGAGAGAGGATAAGTCACAAAAAACTACACATTCAATAGTGGACGTAAACCTTGGTTACAAGTAGTCAAACCACTCTAAAAAATCTATTTGTTCCTTGTGTTTTATAGTAATCCTTTTATATTCATTGTCATATCATTCAATCGCTGATCTATCAGGATCACGCACAAATTTTACATGATTCTAATGTTATCAATCACATATCTCTAGTTGGTGCAAACTCTATTGCTGATCTATCAGGATCACGCACAAATTTTACGTGACTCTAATGTTATCAATCACATATCTCTAGTTGGTGCAAACTTCTACTTCAACAAAAGTATATATTTCTTAAATGAAATTTTTGTTGATATTTTTCTTAAATAAAAATGTCTAAATTATTAATGATGAACCAGTAATAACTGTGACATATTAAAAAAAATTATATTAACAAATCAGTTGTCTAGCTCTGTCAATAATAAAAATTATTTTGAATATAATTCTAAAAATTAAATTATCATGTTTATACAAAGATTAATGTGAACTCGTTAATTAATAAAAAACATTCTTTCAAACATGATTAGGAATAATTAGTTTGTTTCAATATTTTCAAATTTCAACATAATTAAATGCATAAAACGTCTAATTAATCATTTACACTAAGCACGAGGTTTAACATTTTTCCAGTGGCTCAGTAGTCTAATGGAAATAACGGTCTTTAAATAATGATTAATAACCGCGAATTAGTATTACAAATACTCATTAATTCCCATTGAATTATTTAATCTAGCAATTTCATAACCTACGGCTTAGGGTTTAGGGGTTTATAGTTTAACAGTAATACTAGATCCACAACCTTCTCTCACGATCCCCGAACTGGCAACTCGTTATGGATTCGCTCACAAATTGGCAACGAGACCCCTACAAGCAAACGGGACCTATTTTACGAGTTGATCAATAACGAGTTACCACGTCGAGAGTTGTGAGATTAGATTATAGACCTAACATTACTCATAGTTCAGAGTTTAGGATTTAGAGTATATATATATATATATGACCTATCACCCATTAGAAAATTAATATGGAAGGTTCAAACATTACAGTCAAAATTCATTCAAGAAAATTAAATAAATGACCCTACCATATGGTCATATTATCTATTTCTACTATGTGGGCAATGCATATGAAAATTATGGACATGACTAATAGATGATAATTAATTAAGTTTAACCCCTTTTTTTCTTTTTTGAACTTCTGGAATGCGTTTTATTTATTTATTTTTTAATTAATTACGTGAGATTGCTTATATCTTATTCTTAACCTATAATAATCTTAATTTAATTTGACATAATTACAAACTTAAATTATTAAATTCAAATTAGTACGACAAAGATATAGTTTTCATTTGAAATTATGAAATGAAATGGAATCCACAATGTATGTGCCTATGTGGTTCTAAAATAAGAACCTCTTCTTAAATTCAACGATTAGTACGCTTGAAAGCTACTAGACACTACTTGTGATATTTGGTTGTTAAAATGTAATGGATTTCAAGCCTTAACATCACATCTTTTCATGAATCATTTATCACTTTAATCACTTTAATTTAAACATGTGTTTTCAATAATAAACAAAGTTTGCCATTTTTTTTTTTTGGCCGGTTTGCGCGCAAAACTTGAGCTAATTTTTGGAAGAGACTAACTCAACAATCTCCCGCCATAGTCCCCCACTTAAATTTTGGGAGTCAAGAGAGTTGGAACTTAAGACCGTGCTTCTTAACCACATATTTCAGTTAGGGGTGTTAAAAAAAATGTAAAAACCAAACCGAATCAGTTTTTCAGTTATCCGAAAAACCGATTCGGTTTCAGTTTAAGTAAACTCATAAACCAGAAATTCGGTCCGGTTACCGGTTTAAAGTAATTTTAAAACCGATTAACCAAAACTAGTTTTTAAAACCGATTTTCACTTTAAATTTAAAAAACCCTAAATCCTCAAATCCTTTTCTCTTTACTCTTCACCCTTTACGCGTTTTTTTTTTTTTTTTTTTTCACACAAACACACACATTTCTTCTCAATCCTCACCAATTTTCACTTTTCTCTTCCCTCTCAAAATAAAAAATAAGTTAAATTAGGAAAAATTTAAAATAAAAAATAAGTTAAAGGGAAAACTAGTTCAAAACTGGTTAACCAGTTCGGTTTTAATTTAGGAAAATTCCTGAACAGAAAATCCAGTTCGGTTCAAAAAATCAGTTAACCCATTAAACACCCCTAATCTCAAGACTCGTCCGACCACTTGAACTACCCAAGAGTAGGTAATAATACACAAAGTTGAAGCTTGTTTATTACGATTATATTGTTTTCAACAATATTTGTATAATGTTAATTTGAATTTGAGAGTACGTGAACACAGAAAATCAATACGCAATTAAATTTCTTAAAT